AGAGCCTGGTGGGGGCGGTGGCGGGGGGGGGCGGAACGCGCCGTTAAAAAGAAGAAGAGGGCTAAGGCTGCGGAGCCGGCTCCGCCCAAGACGGCGGCGGTGTCAATCACCGTCTCTGAGGGCGGGACGGTCTCGTACGCTAAGGTCCTCAGGACCGCGAGGGAGAGGGTCCCCCTCGCGGAACTAGGAATCAGCGACGTCGGCTGCCAGAGGGCTGTCACCGGGGGCCTCATAGTGGAGGTCTCTGGTGACAGCTCGGGGGAGAAAGCGGACCTCCTGGCGCAGAGCTGCTGCGCTGGCGAGGTCGGGGGTGCGGGTCGCCAGGCCCGTCAAATGCGCGGAGCTGCGCGCGACGGGTCTGGATGACTCTGTCACCCAAGAAGAAGTGGCGACCGCCATAGCCGCAGCTTGCGGATGCGCTGTGGGGGACGTGAAGATCGGAGAGATTCTCCGTCCCCCAAAAGGAATAGGAATGCCTTGGGCGCAGTGTCCGGTGGGTGCTGCGTCCGAAGCTTTAGAAAGGGGAATCCGGGTGGGCTGGAGCAGAGCCAAGTTGGAGTTGCCCCAGACCCGGCCGTTGAGGTATTTCCGGTGCCGGGAGGTAGGACATGTCTAGGCCCGGTGTACCTCTTCGGTGGACCGCAGCGGTCTTTGTTACCGCTGCGGCGTTAGCGGCCACCGAGCCGGCCGTTGCACTGCGGCGGCCCCGAGATGTCCGCTGTGCGCGGACTCGGGTTGCCCGCTGGGCATCGGCTGGGTGGGGGGGCTGGGTGTTTCCGCCCGGCGACGGAAAAGAGGAGGCAGGGGCGGATTCTGAGGAATAGGACCGCTTCTTCCGCCCCCGGGTCGGGAGCGGGAGGGGGATACGGGATGGCCTGGGAGCCCCGTCTTCCCAGTGGACAGTAAAGGGCGGCGGGTCGGGGGGAGCTCGGGCGGGGTCCCCAAGGGGTCCTCGCCACAAGCGCTTCTCCCGGTCCGCATGGAGGTGAGGCCGAGGCTCGGAGGCGGAGGGGGATGAGGGAAGGAAAACCCACAGCAGCGCAAGGCATGCCGCGGTTCCCTGCTCTTGGGTCCTGGTTCTACCTGCACTTCACGTAAGGACGCGAGGGGGGGGGGAGCCCGTCACTCCGGTAACGGTCACTCTTCCCCTCTCTCGCCCGGGGGCGGGTGTGCGGTCGGGAACTGCCGTGCACCCGTACGTTAAAGCAACCCCGGAGGGAGGGGTGGCGGATGGGGAGGTCGTCCCCAAGTTAGATAGCCGACCGGCCCTCCAGCCGTTGGGCTCGGCTGGGGGTTAGCTCCGGCGCAACCAGCTTAGAGCCCGGCGGTCGGGGGGCATGGACGGTCGATGGCGCGGGGGGGGGATGGCGAACGAAATGCGACGCGATACCCGTTGCCCCTTCACCGCAAGGTAAAACGCGTTGAGAGGGACGACCGAGGGGTTTTAGTCGGTGAAAGCCCGACATAACCACCCGCCCCACCCCGGGAGCGGAGGTATCCGTATGGATTTCTCCTCGTAAAAAAAGGTATATTAGGAACTACACGAATCATAAAACATTGAAGCTATGCGTGTAAAATATCTACGGTTATGACCAAACACTAAGGCACAATGGTTATACTTAATGTTAATAACATGTTAAACATAAATGTCAAGACATTGCTATTAAATTGTATTGTTTACAAACCTTTAAGATAATACATTGGAAAATTTCGACGAGTGGCGTAAACAAACTCTTTGTATACGCAACCATTCACGTGCGCTACGCAGCTGCAACTAACATAACATTTGACGATCATCAGTTACCAACATGAGGCAGTAACGTATATAGAAAAAAGATGTCGCGTTTAATAGCTTGGAGTCTCATATTGGCCACCTGTCTCATATTAGGCACCTTTACTCTACTGTTTGGCAAAAAGTCTCAATCGGCGCAGGCATCTAAATAATAAAATTTTTTCGGTATTTTTCATTATTTGTGTCATTTTTTCTTTTTTGTTTATTTACATTGGTTTTACTTTCTCTCCGCCAGTTTTCTATATTCTTTAATTTATTTTTACTTTCATAAGATATAACAAATGTGTTTCTTTCCTTTTATGACTCTTTTTTTAATGGAGTGGAGGTTTTAACATAACATGCGTTAAATTCTAATTCGGATGGAAGAGTGTTACTGCTCAATTTCGTACTTTTTTGAAGAAGCGATGGAGAAACAGTAAATGATATAGATGTTTCAGTTATCTTAATCTCATTATTAATCAGATATATTTTTTTCCTATTTTGTTTAATGAAAGTTGTTTTGTACTATCATTTACTGTAATTTGTACATCATTTTTCGTCGTTGTACTGACATGAGTGATGTTTTGTTACACATAATGTACGTTGAACTTTGTATCTTTTCTTCGATGAATACATATTTAACGGTAGAATCTGATTGTGGTCTAGTAATTTCAGGGTCTGAAATTATATTTTTAATTTTACTGTGTTCTGCGTATGCTAATAAAGAGTGAGAACAAGTGTCCATAGGCAAATGGCCCCATTTTTTTCGCATAAACTATAATCGTATTAAATCAAGTGTTTATTAATGATCCGAAGTACACATACACATAATTAACGAAGCGTCTTGCTCCGAGAATACCATTTGAAAAACTTGGTATTACTATTCTCAAATGCAAGAATACATTGGTATAAAAATGTATGCGCAGATGTTATGTCGCAACATACAATTAATTTTTTGGCTATACTACCTGTGCATCAACTGTCACGTAGCTATCTAAAGAGTGTCCTAATTTGTACATTTTTAATTGTTCCTTTAACCAGTACATGCAATAAAAAGGATCCATTCCTATTGGATGTATTGAACCAACCTGCTCTTCATATTTGGCAACACGTAAGTTAATAACTAGATTCGTACTTTCTAAACCAAGGCGTATGTCTACTTCCTACTACTTCGCTTTGCGTAAAACATGTTCATATGGTATAGTTGCCGTTATTTTATCACCAAATTTTATTAACAATTCTGCTTGTTTAGCTCACCAAACCGATGCAGGTTTATTAGCATTGACGAGGTAAGCAGCAACTTTCTGATGTAAGTATCCGGCCAGAAATCTTTTTCGTTTGTGGGTAACTTTTGTATCAAAGTCTGTTACCAAAAATTCAGGGTGGAGTTTCGAAAACGGCGCACCTTCGATTTTGATAAAATTTTGTGAAAAGCTTTGTTTTGAATTAAAATGAAAGCCCTTAAAAGGAATTTTGGCCACTCCTATGATAAAGCCATTTTTTAAGATAAAATAACAAAAAATATAGGAAGATCTTCCCACGCATACACTTTTCATCTAAACCGAGGTTTATGCCCACCCCCTTGGTTGCGGGGGGGGGGAGCGGTAGCCCCTTCTATTTTACAAAATGACTTTATCATAAAAGTCGCCAAAATTCCTTTTAAGGGCTTTCATTTTAACCCAAAACAAAGCTTTTCACAAAGTTTCATCAAAATCGGAGGTGCGCCGTTTTCGGAACTTTATCCAAAATTCAAAAACACAATCCCTATGTACAACAGGTTTCGAGAACAATTTACCATCTATTATAGCACCGCGCTCGTTACAATATCCTTTAATTTAGGTACACATAGCATTGTGTAGATAAACGTTTATAAACTCTGTCATTTTTAAACGTCATAACACACGGAATATTAATTTAAAAATAAATTTTTTTGCTATAATATGTGACCATACACGTCTTTTTAGCGTCACGTATTGTTTATCGCTGTAAACAAGGGATTCAGGTTTCCTTGCTTCCCATTTCTCAGTGGAACGGTAAATATTTACCCTTACAAACCCTCCTTCAATGACTTTCTTTTTCACATATATTGTAGAGACCTGAGTGACCTTCAGAAAGTTTTAGCCATTATTTATTAAGAAATTATGAACAAATATAATTGAAAAATATAACAGTTTGTGTCAATACTAAGGGAAGTAATTTGCTAATATGTGTGTATAGACAGTACACATGTAGGTGGGGGAGGAGCGGCAACCCCTCTCTTGTAGGCAGAGGTGGGTTGATATGGACCTCGATTCGCGTGGAAAGTTGAAAACCCGAAATTGTACAATGATAGACCTCGTTTTGCTCTATAAGCAGGGGTGGGGCGGGGTGGGGTGGATCTCACTTCGCGAGATGATTCTCTGGACAGATTGGATGGTTTTCTGGACAGCATTGTATTTTCCATGCAAAGCGAGATCCACCCCACCCCCACCTCACCCCTGCTTATAAGGCAAAACAAGGTCTATCACTGTACGGTTGGAGTTTTGAACTTTTCACGCGAACCAACTCTACTCCCACCCACCCTTGCTTATATGTGTACTGTTTATACATATATCAGCAAATTACTTCTTTTAACACTGACACAAACTTGTATATTTCTCAATCTTTTTTGTTTATAACTTTTAAATAAACAATGACCAACGATTAAGTTATAAGGAAAAATTACTGAGGGTCATGTCCTTGACAACATATGTCAAGATCAAGATCATTGGAGGTGTCACCTCTTATCTTCATTTTTATCTTTCTTTTATGCTAACTATTCTCTGCTTTAACAAAAAGACTTTTCAATATATTAACGATTCACTGGTTTAAATGACTTTCCTTTATTCATACATTACTATTTCTACATACATATCAGTCGTTTATGCCTTTTATAATATTTAAAATAACTGCTATATTTTTCCAACTTTTTTATTAATAATTTTTTAATAAAGAACGATCGAAGGCTAAAACCTTCTAAAGGTTACTCAGGAGGGTGTCCTCTGTAATATATGTGAAGGAGAAGGGGTGTTCATAAGGGTAAATATTTACCGTATTTCTTAAATATATTGCAATTAATTAATTAACTTTGTATCAGTAAAAAATTAAAATGTAAACTCACAAATCTTTTTTTCATGTCAAAAATTCTAAAAAAATTAAAGATTTTTTAAATCTGAGATCTTGTCAGTAGATTATGTTATTATCAACATACCGAAAGTCTTCGTTCGTTGGCACTGTGTATATCCTCATCTTCGTGATTTATAATAAATTTGCTATTGTCCCATTCGTCTTGTATCTAATTAAAGTTTCAAATTCTTTATTTTAATTATAATACATAGCTATTTAATATAATAATTATTCTTTGTTACATGGTAACAAAAAAAATGTTGTGTTAATCTGTAATACGATAAAATCAAATTTTTGGCAGTACAAATTAAAAAAAATAATACCTGTTTAAAAGCCACATTTATAAGTTGCATCTCTTCCTGTGAGAGATGATTGATCTTGCAAAGAGCACGCGCATAAGCTACGCTCCCCTGAAAATAATTACAGATAAACCTTATTAGCATCATTTATGAAATAATATCCTGTTCAGATATATTCCTGATTTATCTACATTTCTATTTATCATAAAATGTCAATTATATATTTTTATTGTAAGCAATATGATAATTGTTGTAACTATCGCTCAGAACGCTTTGGGATGTGGCGAGATGGGCAGGAAATGATCTCTTTTACTTCTTTAAACACTAAGTACTCTATTTATTCTATATGTAATGTATATCACACTTTGTATCGTAAACCGTAATCGACGTCTGAACACAACAGTGATCGTGGCTCTTATGAGCATCCATGATGCCCGCACGCACGCGAGGCGCTTCGAGCCGCGCCGCCAACCGGAAGCTGCCCTCTGGAAGGGCGGGAGCACATCGCTCGTACAAACCCTTCTCACAACAATAAGGATAATAAAGAATAATATTTTATGTGTGAGGAATGTATAAATAACACACAAATAAACTCTTACAAAAAACTTTTCTAAAAACAAATAAAAGACGTTAAGTAAAATATATTGCAAAAATGATAAATATAACCAAAACAGTAATTGAAAAATTTAATTAAACAAAGAATTAGAAATGAAAAGATTTTAACATTTGCTAACAATTAACTAGTATTAATTAATAGAGAAAGAAAAGCGGGTAAATATGCATACAAGGTCGAACCTTACTGATGACCTTGACCTTGACATATGTTGTCAAGGTCACCTTTCTGAGTGACCTTCAGAAGGTTTTAGCCGGCGGTCATTGTTCATTAAAAAGTTATAAACAAAAAAAGGTTAAAAAATATAGCAGTTAGTTTGAGTACTAATAGACATAAATAATTAATATTTATGTGGAAATAGTATATGTATGGACGAAGGAAAATTATTTAAAGCAGTGAATTGTTGATATATTAAAAGGAAAGTTATTTAAAGTAGAGAATAGAGAGTATGTACTTTTAAAGCGCGTCAACTAACCTATGTAGGTTAGTGACGCGCTTCAAACAGTTAAATACTTTTAAAACGCGTCACTAACCTATATAGGTTAGTTGACGCGCTTTAAACACTTAAAAATTTTTAAAGCGCGTCACTAATCTATACGTCGAAGGCGTGTCCTAAAATCAGTGAAGAGGCCCTCCCTCGCCTATTTGTGTACTGTTTATACACATGTGTATAATACATGTGTATATATAATACATGTATATAGTACATGTGTATAAACAGTACACAAATAGGCGGAGGAGGGGCGCAGGCGGAACCCCTTCCCCCATAATAAAACTAAACAAACTCTCAGCGTGATACCTAACTGCTTGAATCATCTGTGTGAATATTTGTGGCGATATATAATAAACGAGCTTGTAAAGCGTGCCACGAACTCATGTGACAACTCGTCTCGTGTGAAAAGTGTATGTGTGAACTATTTCGACGTATATATTAATCATTTATGTCTTCCAATATTTAAAATAGCTGCTATATTTTTCAACCTTTTTTGTTTATAACTTTTTAATAAACAATGACCACCGGCTAAAACCTTTTGAAGTCACTCAGAAGGGTGACTTTGACAACATATGTCAAGGTCAAGGTCATCGGTGAGATTCGACCTTTTATGCATATTTACCGAAAAGAGAAAAAGATAGAGTATATCAGTATAAAGATAGAATATACCAGTGTAAAGAGGAGAGATATCAGCACTAACATTATACAGGATGATTCAAAACATTTTTTACAAACTAAAGAAGCATGTTTACAAAATTCATAATTGAAGTAAAAATGTCCTATAAAACATATGTCCAATTCGGAACGATTATCCATTTACAATAATATTACAATTTTTTGGAACATTTTTTTATTAACCCTTTCAGTGCGAAGCGACCGGGACGCAAACAGCCCTCCAGTGGCCGAAGCGTCGATCTGCCGATATACGCGGTTCGGCCGAGAAAGCTAGGCACTTGACATTCAACGCGCCTTCAATTATTATATATAATAAAACTCAATAACAAAAACATTAAAAAAATTTATCAACAGAAACATTTCAAGTTAACATTTCAAGTTGCTCGGCAGTGAGCAGCATGTAGACAATGACTATAGTTACTGCTTGGCCGTAGCGAGCAGTATAATGGATGGCGACTATAGTCACTCTCTGTACCGAAAGGGTTAAGATAGAAAATACGAAAGAAAACATAAAAATCACATAAACTGTTCAAATTGACGTCTTTTGGCTGTATTAATATACAGCATTAATGCAGTGCATCTAAAATAGATTGAATAGTTCATCTCCGTTTCCAATTCAAAGTAATTATACATCAACAAACGTTATTCATCTTGCTGGCCACTGAAATTTCACTCTTAGATTTTTTTCTGTGAGGCTATATGAAAAGTTTAGTACACGCAAAAAAGATTAATACTGATCAAGTTGAATTAATACAGTGTCTCAGCAAACATTTTGGTTACGCCGTAAATCTTTCGTCATTTGTTGGGACAGATTTGATCAGTGTTCGATGTAAATCTGTCGACATGTTTGGCGACAGACCTGCTCTTTGTATGACGTAAATCTTTTGTCATTACAATGCTCTATCAAATAGTTTTATCTTGCCAACATATTGCTAACAAGTAAAGTCATTTTCAAATTAAAAAAATATACAAATGTCGGATCATCGCATCCAATAGATGGCATCCGATAGAATCTGTTTCTCGTAAGGAAAATACGATGAACAATGGTATAAGAACAATATATAAATCACGAAACTGCACAATTTGTATCAGTTGTATCGTAAAGTCCACTTTTATAATAAAGTGTGGCACACTTTTTGAATGTGATGATAACGTTATTATAACCTTATTTTAGTTTATAGTTTTTGAAAACTAATAATAATTAAATAAATACAAAGGTCTATATTCTCAACTCTCTTTTATTGATAAAAGCGTACTTTTATTTCTGAAGTGCTACAGTATATGTAACGTTTGAGGAATTGTTTGTTCCGTTTACTCTTCAATTTAATTGTTCAACTTGATAGCAACTTGCCGGCAAAATTGCGGACATTTTCTGGTCTACGTTTGATGCCAATCGACTGCCGCTTTGCAGTAAATAGATCTGTCCTGAGTTAGTTGTCAATCTGTTGTCATATTGCCATTGTCAGATTTGTTCTGGTGTTGTCGTCAATTTGACTGCGGAATATGATCTTCAGATTTGATTCACATTGGAGACCAACTAAGGACACAGTAGGCCCTGGCTTTGGCATTATCGTTCAAGTGGCATTTGTTTTCCTTTTATCAACATCCCACAACCACAATGTTTGCTAGGGGCAAGCCTGTGACACATTTGGCTTAATTGTGTTAAAATAAACTGTTATAATATTGTTGGCGAATTACGAATGTACTTTCGGCTGAATATTTTTCTCTGCAAATCAGTTGTAAGTGATACCTCCGATATTGCACACAGTGCAGAGATGGCAAACTGCATTAGTACATTTTGTTTGTTTTTTTATGCAGAAGCTTGAACTCTTAAGGCTTCTGGGCTCTTTCCGACATTTGGTGAGATTGTGACGTCAGAGGCGAGAATGACACGTAGAGAATTCGTGCGTGCCATTTCAAAATAAAAAGATATTTGCATAAAATAACACTTAAGATTACTTTAGCACACTTCGAAAATACTTCGAGGTTAGGTTAGGTCTATCTCTTTTCCTTGACAATTAAGGGGGGATTTTCTTTTTTTTTCGCTAAATTTATCGCTTTTTTCTAATTTTCTGGTGAAGAAACTATACAACGGATCAATGCGAAATTTGGCATGTGGATTTATTTATCTCTTATTTATTCACAAAAAAAATAAAAATTATTTTTTCCCAAAAATACGCCTTCCACCCCCCTCGACGCGCGATGATCCCCAGGGTTCGGTGTGCACGATTTGAATCTTCCCATTAATTCTGCAACAAAAACCCAAGAACATTTTACTTTACACACATGTAGCTATTGTTTGACGAAAAAAAAGCAATACGTTGAATATTTTTTTGTTTATAACAAAAAGATCGATCTATTTTCTTGGATCAATCGATATTTTGAGTTCAAAACATCACTGGATCTTCAATTTTTTTTCGCTTCGGCTAACGCCCGATCCAGTTGCTCGTAATTAAGTTCACGCTGGAGAGCTATAAGGAAACCACCCACGGCGCGAACTTCAGAACCTTCTCTCGATTCGAGACGTCTTTTTGACTTCACAGGCTATCAGTCGAGATCAAAGGCAGACACAGTTTTTACGGAACTAAATCAGAGCGAGTTTTTTGAGGGCCTTTGCTTAACGGGGTGAGCTCCGGGTTTTCGGCTCCAAATTTCACCAACACTCGGCAAGCTGCCGCGGAAGAAGAAGCAGAGTGGCTATCCCGGCCTCAGGCAACCGCCTGCTTCAAGGGTCCGACCTTTCCTCGAGCCAGTGAAGACTACACCGGAGACGCCTCAGCCACCTCTCATCGTCGTAAGAATGGAATCCTTCCGAGAGTGAAAGCTATAATTTCTCTTGATCTATCGGGCCTGCCGGAGCCACGTTCGTGGAGGCAACGCCTGTCGGAGTTAGACTCGCAGAGGAAATGTCAGCAGACACAAACGGACTTCTTGCCTTACGTACCGGTGGTGTTTGATCCGCCGAGTCCACCTAGCCCAAGCGAATATACAGGACACCGGGCGAGGGCTTGATTCCGAAACGGTATACTCGGATCAGCAGCCGAAGACGCTCTTTATTAAATGAGCTGTTTGGAGACTAACTCCCTGTATCGCGTATCCGGGAGATAATAAACTTCTCCGTACGCATAGCACACGTGCTTCGCACGTTGCCCCGCATCTCGCGGGGCCCTAAACGAAACCAAAAACCATTCACAGGTTTTCTCTTCGGACGTCACTAAATTCACGTACAATATATTAATTGTGGGGCCGAGATACGTAAGTATTCCTAACATTTAGGGGAGACCGGGGTTAAAACTTCTACGGAGTAAATCCGTCTAATCAAATATCTCG